GCATTATATATTTTTAAGCAGAGGCCCTAGAGAATAGAATGATGGATGTTGCAATTTGTTATGTCACAGTATATGAGCAGCAGTTTTTCAAATGCAATTTTTGGTTACAAAAATTTAACTTCAAAGAATAAAAACACAATATAATGCCCAGTTGTTACACCGAGTAAATAGATACCTAATATGTCACTCTTTAAAACTGTACATGCTTGTGGAATGGCGACAAACTATGGTACATTAAATAATCCATAGATGATGCTTTAAAAGCCTTAACAAGTTACCAGTTTAGAGTTACATAGGAAGTCTGGTGCTAGAATTATTGCTCTCTCTATAACATTTGCGGCAATACCTCACATGTGGGGTGTGAATATGCATGCGAGCATAGGGGTACTCTAAATTTTTAATTATTTATTTATTTTTTTTACACTGGCTCTTTTTTTTTATTACTTTTATGGCTATCACAAGGGATGAACATCCATTGTGATAGCTGGAACAGTGACAGGTCCTCTTTATGGAGAGATCTATTAGTCCCCAGATCTCTCCTCTGCCTTTCAAAGCAGCATATAAAATTGAGATTGGTTTGATCTGATGCTTCCACAAGCCAGAAATGGCTTGTTTACATCCTGGCAAAACCGAAAGCGACAATATACTTGTCGCTTCTGATATCTTAGACCATAGAGATGATCGGGGACATTCTGGTCCTTGATCACCTCAATGGTCAGTCGGTGGAAGCTCCAGCTTCAGTCCCATCTCCCCAGTGGGATAGGAGAGCTAAGGTGGCAAAAGGCAGAAGGAGGTGGTACCACCTTCTGTCACTTGGAAAAGAGATCCAGTGTGCAATTAGCTGCTAGGATAGTCTTTTCATTAAACTGATGCCTGTAGCTGCAGGTATTATTCCCGTATAAACCCTTAATTAGAGATGAGCGAAGCGAACTTGGCGAAGTGGAATTCGTTTCGAATATTTTAGGAAAAATTCGATTTGCACCGAATCCGAAAATTAGCAAACTTAGAATGCACGAATCGAATTTTTCCCGATCGGCCGATTTTCATCCCTTCTACAGCCGGCAAAAAGTGTCCCTGCAGAGAGCTCCGCTATTTCTGACAGTTCTCTGACAGTTCTTTCACATTTACAGCGGTTGAAACATTGTATCTATTTGTTTCCATTTAGGATACAGATGTTTTTATTCGGAAACAAATAGATACAATGTTTCAACCGCTGTAAATGTGAAGGAACTGTCAGAGAACTGTCAGAAATAGCGGAGCTCTCTGCAGATACACTTTTTGCTGTACTGGAATTCTTCTTCTTTTCATTCTTCTTCTTCTTTTCATTCTTCTTCTTTTCATTCTTCTTCTTCTTCTTCTTTTCATTCTTTTCATTCTTCTTTTCATTCTTCTTCTTCTTTTCATTCTTCTTCTTCTTTTCATTGTTCTTTTCATTCTTCTTCTTCTTCTTTTCATTCTTCCTCTTCTTTTCATTCTTCTTCTTCTTCTTTTCATTCTTCTTCTTCTTCTTTTCATTCTTCTTTTTCTTCTTCTTTCTTCTTTTCATTCTTCTTCTTCTTCTTTTCATTCTTCTTTTCATTCTTCTTTTCATTCTTCTTCTTCTTTTCATTCTTCTTTTCATTCTTCTGCTTCTTTTCATTCTTCTTCTTTTCATTCTTCTTTTCATTCTTCTTCTTCTTCTTCTTTTCATTCTTCTTCTTCTTCTTTTCATTCTTCTTTTCATTCTTCTTCTTCTTTTCATTCTTCTTCTTCTTCTTCTTTTTTTCATTCTTCTTCTTCTTCTTCTTCTTCTTTTCATTCTTCTTTTCATTCTACTTCTTCTTCTTGTCATTCTTCTTCTTCTTCTTTTCATTCTTCTTCTTCTTCTTTTCATTCTTCTTCTTCTTCTTCTTTTCATTTCTTCTTCTTCTTCTTTTCATTCTTCTTCTTCTTCTTCTTTCTTCCTTTCATTCTTCTTTTCATTCTTCTTCTTCTTCTTCTTTTCATTCTTCTTTTCATTCTTCTTCTTCTTCTTTTCATTCTTCTTCTTCTTCTTTTTTCATTCTTCTTCTTCTTTCCATGCTTCTTTTCATTCTTCTTTTCATTCTTCTTCTTCTTTTCATTCTTCTTCTTCTTCTTTTCATTCTTCTTTTCATTCTTCTTTCTTCTTTTCATTCTTCTTCTTTTCATTCTTCTTCTTCTTCTTTTCATTCTTCTTTTCATTCTTCTTTTTCATTCTTCTTTTTCTTCTTTTCATTCTTCTTCTTCTTCTTCTTTTCATTCTTCTTCTTCTTCTTTTCATTCTTCTTCTTCTTCTTCTTTTCATTCTTCTTTTCTTCTTCTTCTTTTCATTCTTCTTCTTCTTCTTTTCATTCTTCTTCTTCTTCTTCTTTTCATTCTTCTTTTCATTCTTTTCTTCTTCTTCTTTTCATTCTTCTTTTCATTCTTCTTCTTCTTCTTTTTTCATTCTTCTTCTTCTTCTTTTCATTCTTCTTCTTCTTTTCATTCTTCTTTTCATTCTTCTTCTTCTTTTCATTCTTCTTCTTCTTCTTTTCATTCTTTTCTTCTTCTTTTTTCATTCTTCTTCTTCTTCTTTTCATTCTTCTTTTCATTCTTCTTTTCATTCTTCTTTTTCTTCTTTTCATTCTTCTTCTTCTTCTTTTCATTCTTCTTCTTTCATTCTTCTTTTCATTCTTCTTTTCATTCTTCTTCTTCTTTCTTCTTCTTCTTCTTCGTGCCCCGTGACTGCCCAAATGAGTGAAGTGTGCGGTGATTCTAAGATCGATGGCACTCATCTGCATGTCATACTGACTGACAGTATTATTTCTCTTCCCCAGCAGACTCCAAGGGCATTTAAATTAAAGGTACAGTGTTCTGCACTAATATAAAGGCTCTCTGAAGCCTAGAAACCCTTTTAATAAGTTAAATTCGCAGCGAATAAATTCGCATCAAATCGAATTTATTCCGCAAATTCGGTGAATCAGCCGAATCGAATTTTTGAATAATTCGCTCATCTCTACCCTTAATCCTGGCAACGTACGGGTATGTCACAAAGGCTGAAGTGGTTAAAAAAATATGGTTGATGCTGCCAGAAATCTTGTGAGCTGATAACTTTCTGAGGTTATTGCCTGTGCTCTACTATTAGGAGCTACATTGTTTCCAGCTTTCTCTGTGCACTTCAAATCACCTCCCCCCTGTTTTATGGAAAAGAAGATTCGGGGGTGGCATCCTGTAGTTCTATATGGTTCTGTAATACTGTTGGGTGACAATGCTGTTTCTCTATAGATACAGTACTGCGGGTGAGCCTTGTCACTCTAGGACAGGGAGTGTATTATTGGCAGGATCATCAGGTGAAAGTGAAAAGAGATTAATAAACAACAATAAAGAAAACTAATACAGCCACCACATCAATGGATTGTTAAACTGCAATATGTTGCATTACAAATTCCCACGGTCTGTGAATATCCATCTTTGTGGATCAGAGGGAAATACCTCATATTTACTAGTCACACAAAATGTAAAACAAATTGAAAATACACAAAATAGTGTACACATACACAGACATGCATTAAAAATAAGACACAATGGAGGAAATTTACTACAACTAGAGCACTCAGAATCTGGAGCAGATGTGCATGGTAGCCAATCCGCTTCTAGCTTCAGCTTGTCCAATTACTGTATTTTTCCACTCCATAAGATGCACCTAGATTTTAGAGGAGGAAAACTGGATAAAAATATTCTGAACCAATGGACAGCAAACATAGTACAGGAGATGACCAGGAGACTGCAGACATAGTACAGGAGATGACCAGAGACTGCAGATACAGTACAGGAGATGACCAGAGACTAAAGACATAGTACAGGAGATGACCAGAGACTGCAGACATAGTACAGGAGATGACCAGAGACTGCAGACATAGTACAGGAGACCAGAGACTGCAGACATAGTACAGGAGATGACCAGAGACTGCGGGACAGTACAGGAGATGACCAGAGACTGCAGACATAGTACAGGAGATGACCAAAAACTGCGGACATAATACAGGAGATGACCAGAGACTGCAGACATAGTACAGAAGACCAGAGACTTCAGACATAGTATAGGAGATGATCAGAGACTGCGGACATAGTACAGAAGAGCAGAGACTGCGGACATAGTACAGAAGAGCAGAGACTGCGGACATAGTACAGGAGATGACCAGAGACTGTGGGACATAGTACGAATGGAGTCTCTGGTCTTCTGTACTGTGTCCGCAGTCTCTGGTCTTCTGTACTATGTCCGCAGTTTCTGGTCATCTCCTGTACTATGTCCGCAGTCTCTGGTCATCTCCTATACTATGTCCGCAGTCTCTGGTCATCTCCTGTGCTATGTCTGCAGTCTCTGGTAATCTCCTGTACTGTGTCCGCAGTCTCTGGTCTTCTGTACTATGTCCACAGTCTCTGGTCATCTCCTGTACTGTGTCCGCAGTCTCTGGTCATCTCCTGTACTATGTCCGCAGTCTCTGGTCGTCTCCTGTACTATGTCTGCAGTCTCTGGTCATCTCCTGTATTATGTCCGCAGTCTCTGGTCTTCTGTACTATGTCTGCAGTCTCTGGTCTTCTGTACCAGAGACTGCAGACATAGTACAGAAGACCAGAGACTGTGGGACATAGTACAGAAGACCAGAGACTGTGGGACATAGTACAGAAGACCAGAGACTGCGGACATAGTACAGGAGATGACCAGTGACTGCAAACATAGTACAGAAGACCAGAGACTGCAGACATAGTACAGAAGACCAGAGACTGCAGACATAGTACAGAAGACCAGAGACTGTGGACATAATACAGGAGATGACCAGAGACTGCGGACATAGTACAGGAGATGACCAGAGACTGCGGACATAGTACAGGAGATGACCAGAGACTGCGGACACAGTACAGGAGATGACCAGAGACTGCGGACACAGTACAGGAGATGACCAGAGACTGCGGACATAGTACAGGAGATGACCAGAGACTACGGACATAGTACAGGAGATAACCAGAGACTGCGGATATAGTACAAAAGACCAGAGACTGCGGACACAGTACAGGGGATGACCAGAGACTGCGGACATAGTACAGAAGAGCAGAGACTGCGGACATAGTACAGAAGAGCAGAGACTGCGGACATAGTACAGAAGACCAGAGACTGCGGACACAGTACAGGAGATGACCAGAGACTGCGGACATAGTACAGGAGATGACCAAAGACTGCGGACATAGTACAGGAGATAACCAGAGACTGCGGACACAGTACAGGGGATGACCAGAGACTGCGGACATAGTACAGAAGAGCAGAGACTGCGGACATAGTACAGAAGACCAGAGACTGCGGACATAGTACAGGAGATGACCAGAGACTGCGGACATAGTACAAGAGATGACCAAAGACTGCGGACTGCGTACATAGTACAGAAGACCAGAGACTGCAGACCCTTGGGGAGCAGAGGGGGGGGAGTGGGTACCCAAATTTGACAGGTACCCGCTCCCACTTCCGCGGAGTTGTCCTTCCCCTCCCTCCCCATAATCTTCTGGGACATATGACAGGTCTCAGAAGATTACAGGGCCATTCACAAAGCGTGGCACTTCTCGCGCATGCTCAGTGGGCACCCGGCTGTGAAGCCACAAGCTGTCACAGCCGGGTGCCCATGCCGACACTGGGGAGAGAAGACTGAGGACACAGCTGGACCGAGGAACAGGTAGGACCACTGGAGGTCTGCAGAGAAGAACCGAGCGGCCAGCCTAGTATTCTAACACGGGGGGGGGGAATACCGGGTCGGCCGCTTCATATTCGCTCCATAAGACGCACAGACATTTTCCCCCATTTTCTGGGGGGAAAAAAGTGCGTCTTATGGAGCGAAAAATACGGTAAGCTTTGACAACAAAATCTGGGAGCTTATTGGTTTCTAAGCAGAGCTGCATCAGATTTTGCACCATACAGTTTTAGTAAATAACCCCCAATAATTCAAATGAGGGAAATATTATTATCATTTTCCCTGCACATTTGCCAGAAAGCACCTTACTTTATGTAGCATTTTGCTAAGCATTCAATGCACATTTGAAGACATTCTTAAACATCTGTTCTTCAATGGGAAAAGCTGCTTAACATTTACATTATTTATAAGAGAAAAAGATTTTATTTGTCAACCGCAATATATATTTTTCACCAGATTTTTGCATCTTCTAATCAAAATTCAATGATTGCCTTTGGAGAACATTGTCTATAGCTTCTGCCACAACTTTAAACAGTATAAATTCAAATCTAAATTGATTTTCCCATCTCTCCCATTAGTTCCCCCTATCACCTGCTTAAAATATTGTCTGCATAATTGACCTATACTGTATATACTATTCACTGTCCTACACTGCACGTTTCCACCTGCCACACTCAAATATTTTTCTTTCACACCATCAACCTTGTGGTACTGCCCCCATTTAGGCTCTCACACTTGTACACCCCCTAAGGACCAGGGCATTTACATTTCTGCTATGGGCTTGTTTATTCGGCAATAATTTTGTTATTACTTAAAGTGGAGCTTTAGACAGAAAATGAAATTCTGATAGATCACTTCAGGCTGGCCCATTTTGCAGGTATATCTATGTAAAACTTTTAAAATAGGTTCCTATACTATCTGAAATCCAGTAATACACTGTCTCAATCTGATCTGCACATGCTCAGTTGCTCTTTATTTTTTGGCACTGTGCTGAAAATATGGAGGTTGATCAGCTGACGGGCTAAAGATTTACTGCTGTTCAGGGGCTCTGGGCTTCAGCAACCTCCAGCAAGAAGAAACAGGAGCAATGCTGGAGGCAATTTACAACACACAGTAATTTCGGTAGCATAATTATTGGTGTGCAATGTATGTTCTTTGCTAAAGAAGATTATTTTTTATTCAAGTTGTTATGGGTAAAGTTCTACTTTACGCTTAGGGATGGTCCCGAACGTACCTGGGTTTGGTTAGAGGCAGGTAGCCAAAAGTTAAAAATTAGTTCTGGGCATTTTCTAGGCTAATAGGCAAGGATTGTCAAACAACTGACATGGAGGAATGAATGCCGCCATGGGGAGTATGTATCAAAGCAAAAAAGGAAAAATTCAAAATTCTGCAGGCAACAGTGATTTTAAAAATGCTTAAAGTGAAATGTGAAGATCAGCAACATACTGGTACATCTCCAAATTGGAAGGATGATATCTGTGATCAAGATAATAATAATATAATAATAATAATGTAATTTTTTTTAGCTGGTGATTCCCTACCATGTAATCCGAGCAGCTACAAAGCCACTGGAATACTTTTCCAGGTAGCGGAAGGGGGAACATTTTAATAACTTAAGGATTGATTGAAATAGAAATAAACAAATAAAAAAATGGCAAGACATTCAAAGGACAATAAAGTGTTAATTAGGGAGGATTAGGGTCCCCTAATATCGCCCCCCCCCCCCCCTTGTTAATGATTATGAGGTACATAGCCCTTGTTAAGCCTTGTACACACTAGTAGCTTTTTTTCATTCAACCCAAGAAGCTGAACGAAAAAAGTTGCAGAACTCAAGAGAACATATCAATGTTAGTAGAGTGATCTCCCCCCCTGCTGAGCTATTGTGTTCTGACAGGGGGATGGCCATCCCACCAGAACACACTTGTCAGGGCTCAGAGACATTGACTAAGAGTGCAGATCGGATGCCGATGTGCAGACCTTTTTCAGCCTGTTGGACTGGCAGCCATACACACGGGCTAAATGTCGTACGTATTTTATTGATCCCGCCAATGATGCCCGACATTCGGCCTGTGTATATAAGGCTTTACTTATTCACAAACGAAAAGGCAAATAATTAATTAAAACATCCCCCACAAACCTGATGCATGTAGCCTAATTTTCTACAAGAGGGCCTCCCCTCTTGTATTTCTATGGTCTGTAAAATTTTTCTAACAAAAAATGTGCCTGCACTAGGCCAAAAATAGAAACAAATAAGAATGATATATATGGCTATGAAATAGTATTTGCCCCTTCCTGATTTTTTAAAAATATTTTTGCATATTTGTCAAACTTAAATGATTCAGATCATCAAGCAAATTTTAATACTACACAAAGATAACTCCGGTAAATACAAAATGCGTTTTTTAAATGATGATTTCATTTATTAAAGAAAAAATGCTGTCCAAACCTGCTGCTCCTATGTGAAAAAATTATTTCCCCCTAAACCTAATAACTGGTTGTGCCACCCGTGGCGGCAACAACTGCAGTCAAGCATTTGCAATAACTAGCAATGAGTGTTTCACATCACTGTGGAGGAATTTTGGCCCACTTTTCTTTGCAGCATGGTTTTAATTCAGACACATTGGAGGGCTTTTGAGCATGAACAGCCTAGGGTCATGCCACAGCACCTCAATCAGATTTAGGTCCAGACTTTGATTAGGCCACTCCAAAACCAATTTTGTTTTTTGAGCCATTCGGAGATGGACTTGCTGGTTTCTTTTGGACCATTATCCTGTTGCATAACTCAAGTGCGCTTGAAATCATAAACTGGCTGGACATTCTCCTTCAGGATTTTCTGGTAGAGTGCAGAATTCATGGTTCCATCGATTATGGCAAGTCTTCCAGGTCCTGAAACTGCAAAGCAGCCCAGACCACACTACCACCACCATGTTTGACTGTTGGTATATTGTTCTTTTTATAAAATGTTGTGTTACACCAGCGAAACGGGATGCACACCTTCCAAAAAGTTCTGTTGTCTTATCAGTTCACAGAATATTTGCCCAAAAGTCTTGGAGATAATCAAGATTTTTTTTTTTGGGCAAATGTGAGAAGAGCCTTTGTGTTCTTTTTGGTCAGCAATGGCTTTCACCTTGGAACTCTACTATGGATGCCATTTTTGCCCAGTCTCTTTCTCGTTGAATAGTGAACTCTTACCATAACTGAGGCAAGTGAAGCCTGCAGTTCTTTAGATGTTGTCTTGGGTTCTTTTATGACCTCCTGGATCAGTTGTTGTTGTGCTCTTGAAGTAATTTGGCAGGCCACTCCTGGGAAGGTTCACCACTGTTCCACGTTTTCTCCATTTGTGTATATTGGCTTTCGCTGTGATTTGATGGCATCCTAATGCCTTAGAAATGGCTTTGTAACCCTTTCCAGACTGATACATGTGTGGATTATGCAGCAGGGAAATAGGGGGCAATTCATTTTTCATATAGGGCCAAGCAGGTTTGGACAGCTTTTTACAGGTTATCTTTGTGTAATATTAAAATTTGTTTGATGATCTGAATCATTTAAGTGTGACAAATGTGCAAAAAAAAAAAAAATCAAGAAGTGAGGCAAATGCTTTTTCATAGCACTATACATCTAAAGGTACACATTTGTAAACATATATTTGTGTGTGTAAAAATCACATCATGCATTTGATTTAGCTCTGTGCATATTTTTCTATTTACATTAATGATGCCATTCTCTATAAAGCTGGGTATGCACTAGTACAATTTCTTTTGTCATTTTGTGTTGTAAGATAATTCATTTTTCTAATCATTAGTTGCTCAAATCAATGTTCGTTTTTGTGCGCATTGATGAGAAAATTCGAAGGAGCAGGATGGAAATTTTTTTTCAAACTAACAAATTTCGAACAGTGTATGTGGTTTTTATTCAGTAAAGTCCATTTGTTCCAAAATCAAATAGTTAAAGTTATAGAAATCTTGAACTACTTTGGAAAAACATTTGAATGTTCTGAAAATTTTCATACAATGTTTTGTTCAAAATTGTGTGCCCAATTTACCTGTTCAATGAATAGATATACCTTTGCTACTATAATAGAAAAAGTCTGTAAGGATTGTACTACCAGTTTGTTTTTAATAACTAGTAAGGGGACAAATGAAGAGTTTTAGATATCTTCATTGTGCTCCAAATGAGACATCTAATGTGTGGATTATAAGGAATTAAAACATTTTTTTTTTTAATACCTTTGCTCATTCCTGCCCTTAGATTGAAATTCTAGGACTCGAAGCCATGTGATTTTATATAAATAAAAAGGAGGGCACATTAACAGAAAATGTATAGTAAGAGTCAGATTTCAAGGTGAACCCCACTTTAAGCTGCTCCCTTGGGGTCTATTTACAGTTACTGCCGCTCTTTTTACTGCTCCACTGCCCATCCTATTATTCAGAATGTGCTCTTCTCAAAATCTCTCAGGCATTCATTCATACATAGGAACATGTATTTTTAAACTCACGTATTCAATGCACCAATGAGATCGTTCAATCATATAATTATGTGCATAATAAAGACAGTGCTAATGCTATATTACTCTCTTAGTTATTGTAAGACAGAAAAGAGGGTACAGAAAGGATAAACATATTAAAGTTGAAGACAGCAACAAGAGCTGCAGTTCTTGAAGGGAGCATTTTTTTGATAGATTATTTTTATTAAATTTACTGGGGCACTAGTATCTTTTTTTTTTTTCAAAGTAAAATATATGTAATGTAATATTTAAAGCAGCAAATAGTGGAGACTTCATTCTACCATACACACACATGCTTTTTTAAATAATGTATAATATTACACCACCTCTGGCTCAGGTTCTTTGTTCCCTACTCACTGCTATCACTTGTAAACACAGGAGTCCAGCTTCTGTATTTACAAGTGACAGGTGGGGGAAGTGGAGGGGTGGGTGCATGCATAGGTCAGAGCTGAAGAGGGGTGAAAGTGAGCTGTGGATGGGGGTTGCAGAGATAAACACTTGTGGAAGAAGGCTG